AGACCAGCCTGGCCAACATGTTGAAATCCCGTCTCTACTGAAAAATACAAAAATTAGCCAGGCATGGTGGCCAGCCCCTGTAATTCCAACTACTTGGGAGGCTGAGGCAGGAGAATCACTTGAACCTGGGAGGCAGAGGTTGCAGTGAGCTGAGATTGTGCCACTACACCCCAGCCTGGGCGACGAGAGCGAAACTATCTTGTCTAAATGGTAACAGCAGAGTGTTAAATCAAGCAGGGGGTCCTTCTAAACGTGGGGCCCTGCTCAACTGCACAGGTCACACATCCATGGTGCTGGCCCTGCACACACACAGTAGCCAGTCACTTAGAAAAGGGCAGTTTTGCCGCAAGACATCCCAACCCTGTCAAGCTGAGAAAACCCATAGCCGCGGCTGTTTCCTTGCACAAGCATACCTGGGAGCCTAATTCCTCACAGAGCGTTTTCCACATGCAACACCACTCTGGTCATGAGTTCAGAAGAGAAACCAAAGCAATAAAATAAACATAAATCAAAGCCAACCATGGTAATAAAATGGATCCAAAGGGTCAGTGTGGCAGGCAGGACATTAGAATTCAGACAGCTTTAGTATCTCCCTGGACAAATTACATGAATTGCTGTCAGAGGTACCCCCAAAGTTCAGGCAAAATATGCCTCCTGGCTCATTTAACTCCCATTTCTCCTGCAGTAAATTATTCATGGAACGAGCTCAAGCTGGCCGAGCTGTTGTCTCAACACGGGCCTGATGTCCACACAGAAAACTGCTCAATAATTTGTACTGGAAGTGACCCAGCACTACATTCGTTCCCTGAGCACTGGCACCAGGGCATCAAGCTGCAGGGGACAAAAATCCCCAAGACAGCATCCTGCTTCTGTTTGGAGTGGGGTGTAAAGTCCCCATCGAGGGGCTGAAGGTGACCCCGCAGCCTCAGAGCAGCAGTCCATGACCCAGGTGTCGGTGACTTCATAAGGCCAAGGACACCACAGAAGCTCCGGCAGGTGAGAAGGAGAAATAGGGAAAAGAAAGAAAAAGACTTGGTGAGAGGACAGCGCAGGATGAAGAGGGGAGGGGATGGAGCAAGAAACAGACAAGAAAACGTCTCTCTTTGGGGAAGAAGATATGGTTTGAGGCAAAATATATGGTTATTTTGTTTGTTTGTTTGTTTGTTTGTTTGTTTGTTTGTTTTTGAGACGGAGTTTCGCCCTTGTTACCCAGGCTGGAGTGCAATGGCGCGATCTCGGCTCACCGCAATCTCCGCCTCCTGGGTTCAGGCAATTCTCCTGCCTCAGCCTCCTGAGTAGCTGGGATTACAGGCATGCGCCACCATGCCCAGCTAATTTTTGTATTTTTAGTAGAGACGGGGTTTCACCATGTTGACCAGGATGGTCTCGATCTCTTGACCTCGTGATCCACCCGCCTCGGCCTCCCAAAGTGCTGGGATTACAGGCTTGAGCCACCGCGCCCGGCCTAAAATATATGGTTCTAAAGAGCAGCTTCCACCCTTCAATGCCCCCATCTCAGCTTCTGGAAGTCTTTCCAGGCTTTGAGGGTCCAGCTCCAACCTCAACCAGGAGATGGAGGGTAGCTTCCCCTGACTGCCACAGAACAATGTTGCCACACAAATAAATAAGAATACAGTAGCTAACATCAGTGGAGCTTCCATTCACCACCTACACCCTCTCATTTAGTGCCCCCCAGCCCTTCCTGGGCATTATTACAGCCCTAATTTTGCCAATGAAGAAACTGAGGAACTGAGAGATCAAGTAACTTGCCCAAGGACACGCAGGTGGTAACTGCTGAGGTGGGACCAGACAAACTGACCCCAAAGTCCTTACTATAACCACTGGGCTCTACATTTCCTTCTTCTTTTTTCTTTTTTATTTTTTTGGTGAGAGGGAGTCTTGCTCTGTCACACAGGCTGGAGTGCAGTGGTGTGATCTCGGTTTACTGCAACCTCTGCCTCACGGGTTCAAGCAGTTCTCTGCCTCAGCCTCCTGAGTAGCTGGGATTACAGGTGTGCACCACCACGCCCGGTGAATTTTTGTATTTTTAGTTGAGAGGGGGTTTCATCTTGGCCAGGCTGGTCTTGAACTTCTGACATCATGATCCACCCACCTCAGCCTCCCAAAGTGCTGGGATTACAGGCGTGAACCACCGCACCCAGCCTACATTCCCTTCTTCTACCTTACTGTGGCTCAGAGGATCGCCTGAGCCCAAGAGCTCAAGACCAGCCTGGACAACATAATGAGACCCCATCACTACAAAAAATTTCTGCCTGTAGCGTGGACAGTAGTGTCCAAACTTCACCCCTCCTCCAGGAAACCTCTCTTGAGGATAGGGACTCTATCTAACTTATACCCCTATTCCTCCAGCAATCCACTATGATGCCTAGCACATAGTAGGTGCTCAGTAAATGTTAATTCGATATCTTTCTCTCAGCAGACACATGTACAAAAAGTATTGTGTCCAAAACACAAAGAGAAAATATTTACAAATCATATGTGCAACACAGGATTTGTATTCAGAATTTATAATGGGCCAGGAACGATGGCTAACGCTTGTAATCCCAGCACTCTGGGAAGCCGAGGCAGGCAGATCACCTGAGGTCAGGAGTTTGAGACCAGCCTGGCCAGCATGGCAAAATCCCATCTCTACTAAAAATTTAAAAATTAGCTGGTCATGGTGGCACACACCTGTGGTCCCAACTACTCAGGAGGCTGAGGTGGGAGGATCACTGGAGGCTGGGAGCTCAAGGCTGCAAGGAGCCCTAATTGTGCACTGCACTCCAGCATATGGGAGACAAGGCAAGACTGCCTCAAAAAAAAAAAAGTATCAATCTGAATCCCATAATTATGTACAATTATTACATGTCAACTAAAAGGAAAACAATTACTGAATGGAAAAGAAAAAACAGTGCTTGGCATAATATTTGTAGAATTGAATAGTCCCATTGAAGCAGCCAGTCATTCATTCTATTGCAAAATAGCTCAAATGAAAAGAAATTTATGAAAACTTTTTTTGGCCAGACATGGTGGTTCACGCCTATAATCCCAGCACTTTGGGAAGCCAAGGCAGGTGGATCAACTGAGGTCAGGAGTTGAAGACCAGCCTGGCCAACATGGTGAAACCCCGTCTGTACTAAAAATACAAAAAATTATCTGGGAGTCTTGGCAGGTGCCTGTAATCCCAGCTGCCCAGGAGGCTGAGGCAGGAGAATCACTTGAACCTGGGAGGCAGAGATTGCAGTGAGCCAAGATAGCGCCA